CAGCTGGGTGACTTTGGGCCAGTCACTAGGAGACGGTGAGTTCTAGTACCACCTTAGCCATGATGAAATCTGGCTGGGTGACGTTGGGCCAATCACCAGGAGACCGTGAATTCTAGTCCCATTTAGCCATGGAAGTCAAACTGGGTGACTTTGGGCCAGTCTCACTCTCTCAGCCCACCCCACCTCGCAAGGTTGTTGTTGTAGAGAAAATAGGAGAAGGAAAGTGGGATGGGTTCTGTTCGCCCCCTTGGAGTGACTTCTAAAAATAATAAAGGTGAGCTACAAATAAAAAAGTAAAACAATTTTTTAAAAAAAAGAGCAAACCACCTGGAACCTGGCAAGTTTTGCCTGGTCCGCATTGTTTGCTTCTGATATGAGGACAATCAGATAGTTTTCTGGCTTGTTTCCTTTTTTTTGCCCAATGGTGTTTATTCAGTTTTGGTTTTTTTTAATGATCCACTGCGTCTGAATATGAATTTTCCTCCGGCAGTGGGGTTAGCGGGGGGGGGGGGGAGAGATGGGGGAGACCTCTAAGTGATTTTTAGGAGAGGCTGCTAACGTTTGGCGGAGCACATTTTTCACATTACTTGGCAAGCTACTCTAGCCTCAGCTCAGGACTCTGTAATTAGCATCTAATTAATCACGCTGGCAGCCTGATGCAGGTTTCTCTGTAGATTCCAGGTTTGTGACTGTACATTGTAGGTACATATGTACATACAAGAGGCACATGCATTCCAGCAGGATTCCCGCCATCTTGCTTTCTGGAGCTGTCCAGAATGATCCAAAATGCAAAACGAGGCACGCTGAAGTGCCTGTTAGTCCGCTCACAAGAGAACATCTTTTGAGAAGGACAATGAAAACGACCAGAGTTTTAGATTTCAATCTTGCCCTGAAGTTTTGCATTCTTCACCTTTCTTGGCTTCTGGCATCCTACGAACAACCCTGCGAGATAGGCTGGGCAGAGAGGGAGAAGGAGGGAGGGAGGGAGAGGAAAGAAGAGAGAGGGAGGGGAGAAGGAGGGAGGGAGAAGGGAGAGGGAGGAAGTGGGAAAGAGGGAGGGAGAGAGAGGGAAAGAGGGGGCGAGAGAGAGGAAGAGATGGAGAGAGACTGAGAAAGAGAGAAGGAGGGAGAGGAAAGAGAAGGAAAGAGGGAGAAGAGATGGAGAGGGGGGAAAGAGGAAGAGTGTGGGAGAGAGCGCAGGAGGGAAGGAAAGAGGGAGAGAGGGAAGAGAGATGGAGACAGAGAAAGAGAGGAGAGAGGGAGGGAGGGAGAGGAAAGAGAAGGAAAGAGGGAGAAGAGATGGAGAGGGGGAAAAGAGGGAGAGTGCAGAAGGGAGGGAGAGGGAAAGAGATGGAGAGGGAGAGGAGAGAGGGAGAAGAGAGGGAGAGAGACAGAGAAAGAGAGCAGGAGAGAGGGAGAGGAAAGAGAGGGAGAGAGAGGAGAATATTGTGGCTGGGTTGTGGGATGTGTCTTGAGACCTGAGTTTTGGGCCTCAAAATATAGATAGGAAATTTGGGGGTTTGGACCCCGTTGTCTTGCCTGGGTTGATGGTGTCGCATGGAGTATCACAACCCGCCCCCCAAAAGACCATGTGAAACCCCTTCCTCATGACTGCTCACCGGGGGCGCTGGGATTTGAAACCCAACACGTATTGATTTCGATTGATTTATCCCACTTCAAAATGTCGGGAAAACACCAACTCGCTAACTAACTCCAGTTAAAGATCTGAGAAGATAGGTAGATCAATCTCTGTCTCTCCGCACCCCCTCACAACCAAAATTTTGGGGAAAGCTAGGACGTAGGATGGAATACAGGTAGTCCACAACTTACAACGGTTCATTTAGTGACCATTGAAAGTTACAACGGCGCTGGAAAAAACAACCGGTCACCGTTTCTCACACGGCCGTTGCAGAATTCCCGTGATCAAAATTCAGGCATCTGGCAACTAGCATGACCAGGTTGTCCTCGACTTATGACCACAATGGAGCCCCAAATTTATGATGTTAAGTGAGACATTGGTTAGGCGAGTTTTGCCCCATTTTTAACAACCTTTCTTACCGCAATCGTTAAGCGAATTATTGAAGTGCTTAAGTTAGCAACATGGTCGTTAAGCGAATCTGGCTTCCCCCCATTGATTTGGCTTGTCAGAAAGTCACAAAAGGGGATCACGTGACCCCCCCAGGACATTGCAATCCATCATAAATATGAGTCATTGGCCAAACATTTGAATTCTCATCACGGGACCACAGGGAATGTTGCAAACAGTCATAAGTCACTTTTTTCAGTGCTGTTATAACTTCGAACGGTTGTTAAACAGTTCGTGTTTATGACGCATGGCCCCGCCGGGTCACAACCTTTTGTGACCTTCCGACAAGCGAAGTCAATGGGGATTAACAGAGTTGGAGGGGACCCTGTAGGTCATCTAGTCCAACCCTGCGCCCAAGCAGACTCGCTCAAAAACCGTGTAACTAGCTTAACAACTCCAGTGGTTCGCTTAACAACTATGGCCAGAAAGGCTGTAAAACGGGGCAAAACTCACTTAAAACAACTGTTCTGCTTAGCCAAGGGAAGTTTGGGTGCCAATTGTGGTCTGAAGTTGAAGATTACCCGAAAAACGACGGCTGTGATTATGATCTGCACGACGAGCAAAAACAGTTCTTCTGAGAATGTGCAGAGCGGTGCACTCACAGAGATTATTATTATTATTTAACAGTTTCTACTATTAATCATCCCAGATAACATGTTTTGATGGAAAGCTGGTATTCCTTCAGTTCTTTTGCTTGGAATGCGGTACAATTTATATTTGATGGTTTTTTGGTTTTGGCACCAAACGTCACCTCTTCCTTTTAATTAAAAAAGCGAACTTAAAAGGAAAAATAAATCTGCTGACAAATTTGACAAGCCTCTCTCTTTCTCTCTCTCCTTCGGGCTCCTCCGTTGTGAATTTGAAAGCGAAACGTGAAATTAATGTTGGGCGAAGAATGCCGTTGCAGGGCGCGAGCAGAGTTTTTATTTCGGGATTGGAAAAACCAGCAGAAACTTCTTCTTATAAAGCATGTAATATACTTTTTACGAGAAGACCGTATAGGACGGTAATGGTGAACCTTTGGCAGAGTGGCATGGAGAGCCCTCCCTCTAGGCACAGGTGCCACTGCCAGCTGGCCTTCTGGTGCACTGGCCAGCTGGTCTTCGAGGGCGCCAGAGCACCAAAAAACACCAAAAAAACCAAGCCATTTTTCGGGCTTTTCCAGCCGTTTTCTGGGCCGTTTCCAGGATGTTTTGGTCCGAAAAATGGCCTGAAAAAAAGCCAAAAGGAAGCCACTTTTGGGGCCTTTTTCAGGCCTTTTCCAGGCCATTTTTGGGCCTTTTTCAGGATGTTTTGGTTCAAAAAAATGGCCTGAAAAATGGCCCCCAAAAGAAGCCACTTTGGGGCCCTTTTCAGGCATTTTTCCAGGCCATTTTTGGGGCATTTTCAGGATGTTTTGGTCCAGAAAATGGCCGGAAAAACAGCCAAAAAGAAGCCACTTTTGGGGCCTTTTTCAGGCATTTTTCCAGGCCATTT